TAAATTATATCACATCATTTTCTACATTTTATAAGTGTTTGTTTAATTTTAGGGGCAAGTAGTATATTAATCTCTTTATGCACTTTTTTTAAATACAATTATTTGTTTTTCTTATATGTACATATTGGAAAATTGAACATAAAAGATGCATTAATACACTCAAAATATAGTGTTTTAATATTATTTCTAATTTGTAATTTATTTACATGAGTCTTTTATTAGATGTAGTTTTATAATTTTTGCATAAATCACATCATTCCAGAGTATATAGATTTTTTTAAGATGATTTTTATATTAGTAGCATTCTGTGTAATTATACAATATATTTTGGTTATAAATATTATTCATCAATGTGTGTATATATATATATGCGTGTGTATAATAGTGATTATATAGTAACTTTACTTTTATTTATTACTATCATTAATATTTCAATATTTAATTACAGATTGCAGAAGATGATCGACTACCGAAATGCCTCTGTTATCGATGCATGTACAATTTGGAAAATTTCTATGATTTTAGAACAGCATGCGTTAATGCAGTGGCCCTTTTGGAAAGATGTTTACCATCCTCGGAAAAGGTAAAATTTGTAGTGTTTCACAGAGTAATGAGTACCTTATAACAAGAGCATAATAAAAGTTGTGTACCTCGTTTTCATTTAGGTTGAGGGTGTTATGACCACATTAAGATACTGCAATGACTCCGAACACTTGAAGCGAAAGGAAAGTATACCAATACTGATCCCAGAGGCACCTATTGTGAATCCTAATGCTGCCTTAGGTACACCACCTAGATTAAATTCTGATGGAGAGGCAGAAACTGAAGATGTTGTCAATAATAGTGGCACTGATGAAGGTATTTTTATAACTTTGCCCTTAAGAAATATTTATTTATTAGTTCAGTAATGTATAGATCATTTTTCAAAATAAAATTAGAAAATAAAGTAAGTACATAGAAAAATATTTTGAATGAAACATTGAAACTGAAATTTATTCATATTTTTAGTCTACATATACCAGTCAAAAAAATAAATATTTGTTTTTATTTAAGCAACAATAGTGGATGACTCTGACGATCATCGTTCAGAAGAATACGAAATGGATATGGAAACAAATCCAAGTGATTTTTTGGAGATGACTTCAATAGTTACAGAAGAGCCTGAAGAGTCAGAGTTGAAACATCAAGAACATCCTGCTAACGTCTCAGAGGTATATAACTGAATTTGGTAAAAGCCTTTTAATTCTTACATTATTGTAACTGTATGAAATGTTTTTAATAATTGTGTAAATGATGACTTGTGTTACTACAGCATATATCACAACAACACGAAGTTTATGTTTGTTCCTTGTGCAACAAAGCATTCAGTTCCAAGGGTCATTTATCTTTGCACGCGCGTATTCATGTTGGGGCTGGTGACGTAATTGGCGAAAAAGTTCTTACGGACGATCACACTTCTTACAAGAGACCTTATCAATGTGATCTTTGTCATAAATCTTATTCAACTGCGAAGCATCGTTGGGGTCATGTTTCAACAACTCATAGGTTTGTCAATAATAATTTTCTATCTCGCTTATAGTTATTTTTTTTCCATATTTATATAACTTATCGTCGTGGCAATAAAATAACGAAAAGTTAATGAAATTAATTATAGAAAAAGAACGTTAGTTTCGAAGTGTATAAGGCGTATATTTATATTAGAATAATGTTGGTAATATAAATGATGATATAATAATCTTTGTATTAGAGGCCACCCGGCAGTAACATGCGGTTATTGTTCCCGTATCTACTCAACCCGAACAAATTTGGAAGAACATATAAAATCACGTCACGCTGGTCTTCCAACACCTTTGGAAGTTCCTGTGAACAATACCTATCGACCAGAAAACAGATGTCAGTGCAATGTTTGCGGAAAGATTTGTACTGATGCTATGGAATTGAATTTGCATGGCCGGATTTGTATTGAAGAACAAAGATCAGATTTTCTAGCTAGAAGTGAGAACAGGGATACTAAAATTGTGGACAGTACTGAAGGATCAAGTATCGGCAGTGATGACGATAGCAAGGATTATAGGTACAATTTCAGACCATTGTTAAAAAGAATATTTCACAGTTGTACAGAAATACGTCGTTAAACTGTTTTGCAATTGTGAATCATTTTTATTCTTTATTTTAGAAGTGCAGAGGCAAAGTTGGCTAAAAATCCTCAATTAACAATCTTGAAACAAGCACTAATGAAAGGTGATAGTCTTAAACGAGATTTCGAAGATAAATTCACGACAAATTGTAAACCAAAAAAACTGCCAAAAACAGGTATTTCGGGTGCTAAAATTGATCTTTCCAGTTATATGTCGATAAAAATTGAATTACTGTAATTAGAAGGCAATAAGTCCAAATGTTCATAATTATTTTGTTTAACAGAAAACATAGATGTTACAAGCGATAAAAAGTGGTATTGCGAATCTTGTCCTCAATTTTTCACCTCGGTCGAAAATTTGAAAGAACATGAAGCAATTCATGACGCCGACAAGCCCTATATCTGTATTTTATGTAAAAAAGACTTTGTTCTTAAGTCTTCCTTGAGTAGACATATTCAAACACTACATGGAGTTGATCCATGTCCTATTGTAGAAAGCGATAAATGTTTAAAGAAAATTCTTTCGCGAAATTGGAATGAATCTATGGATTTTGATTATGAACGAAAAACTTCCGAATTTCCATTATCCCCAGAGGTATACTATTAAAGTTATAAAATAATTCTTATGTTTGTATTAAACATGTCTAATTGTATTTTTTTTATTACCTTTTATTTTAGACGAATGTTGAAAATGAAGAAGAAGATCATGAAAGTGGACAGGAAAATCTTATTGAAATTGAAACTGTATTTGTTTGTGAAATTTGTACTCGTGATTTTAATGATCGCGCTTCGCTTTGGCTTCACATTCGAGCTACTCACAAAGAATTCGCAGCATTTGCTTGCGGTGTTTGCTTGAAAATTTGTGCAGACAATACACAACTTCTGAATCATGTAAATATGTATCATGGAGTATCAAAATTGCTACTCTCTGAACAAAGAAGGTATTGTATTTTCAATTAAGCTGTGGAACAAAATTTTACAAAACATTTAATTTATTTTAATTATAACCGGTTTGTTTTATCGTTGATAGGTATAGTTGTACCATTTGTGGCAGGCAACATGACTCTAGAAAGAAATTAATTGCGCACGTATCTATACATAACGTTGATCCAAAATACGATCCAGCAACCTTTGTACAATTAAATAGTAATTATTATGGAGAGAATATTAATGGTAACGAAACTACAGAAACAATGCTTGATTATGAAGAAGAAGGGGACAAAGTAGATTGTTATATTTGTTACAAATCATTTCCAAATGAAGATCATTTAATACGGCATCAAAGAAATGCGCACAGGGTAAGAATTAAAACAGAAGTGAAAAATATAGTTTAGAAATATATGAAAAGACCTTAGTATTATTTTGTATTTATATTTCTTTTTATGATAACATTGTATTGTATTAAGATCTTGTAATTTTTTAGTCTGAACCATTAATGGCAGCAGGAGACTCTTTGAATCCATCCAATTTAAATGGCGGTGGAAATAGAGCTCAATACCACTTGTTCTTTGTTTGTGAACTTTGTGGAAGTTCACATCCTAGTAAATGGGAACGTTGGTTACACGTCAGTTCTTCTCACGCTAATGAACCAACTATAAAATGTGATCGTGATGACTGTGGAAAAATCTTTGCTACAAAGTCTCTTAAGAACGATCACATTCAACATCACGCAATTCAAGGCCCTTCGCCAAATACTTGTGAAATTTGTGGTAAACTTTGGGGTAGCAGAGTGGATTATTGGAAGCACGTTATGGGTGTCCATTCAGACACTGTCCCATTAATTTGTGGTGTTTGTCTAAAAGTGTTTCCGAATGTGTTACAATTAAGTAGTCACGTTAAATCGAAACATTGGCCATTAACGAATGGTGATTTCAGTTGTGATATATGTGGAAGACCGTATTCAAACAAATCAAAAATGTCTAGACATAGAAAGATTCATGGTTTCGAAGACAGTTGTGACAATGGAATAGAAAACAATGAAAGCAAAGCAGATGGACGAATCAGAGAAAGCGAATTAAGCTGTGAACATTGTTCGGATTTGAAATTTACTAGTTTAGAGAAGTTATGTAATCACAGACGAATCGTTCATGGTCTTTTCCCTTGCGATCTCTGTAATAAATGCTACGGTAGAACCTCGCATTTATGGAAACATGTTAATAGAGTTCATAAAGGCCATGAAGACGTTACATGTCCTTATTGCTTAAAAACCAGCGCTTCGAAAGATCATTTGGCCACTCACATTTCTAAAATTCATAGATACGAGCCTGATTCTAGAAAAGAGGGGAAAGATAATAGGCAGTTCAAGACTGAGGAAGTTAGTTTACATTATTGTGAGAAATGTAATAAAGGATTTCACAAACGATATCTGTTACGTAGGCATATGAAGGGATGCCAGAATTATAGAAAGGATCCCGGTACGTTGCTTACAAGATGCAGAGCTTGCGAAAGAATTTTCAAAGACCGTGCTAGTTTACAAAAACATATTGAAAATCACCATAGTACGTACACTTGTCATCTTTGCAATGAGACCATCACTTCAAAGTTAGGAATTATGACACATAATAGAGTGAAGCATATGGATCACCCAGATTTGACCTGTAGTTTCGGAGCTTGCAGAAAATTATTTAGGACAAAGGAAGATTTGGAATCTCACAAGAAAGACCATAGATATCACACGAATCCTAATGTCTGCGATTTTTGTGGCGACACTGTTGAGAATAAATTAAAATTAAAAATGCATGTACTGTCTCTTCATCGTAATGAAATTGGTGTATCGTGTGGAGTATGTTTAATCCCAATGAAAGATCCGAAAGAACTTAAGAGTCATGTAGAAAAAGTTCATTCCAGCGTTCTTTTAAGACCTAATACCTGTCAAGTATGTGGTAAACAGTATGCTTCAAAATGGAAAGCTTTTGATCACACTAAAAAATGTCATGGCAAAGTTTTCCAGACTTGCAAACAATGTTTAGCTGTTTTCACAGAAGATACCGCTATTAGAGATCATTATGAGATGGTGCATAATGTTCCAAAAGATCAACTTGCAGCATTTGAATACAGATTAGATATTGGATCGAAGAACGAAGATTTTGAAATGGAGGTAATTTATTGATCAGTTACACGTAAAATGTTGAAATATGAAATGAAATTAGTGATTGATTAATTATTGTTCGTTTTATAGTCTCCAGATATTGTTATCAAAGAAGAATTAGAAGACATGGAGTATGATCTTTGTGATGAGGACTCTAGTGATTCGAAAAGAAGAAGATCATTAACTGATACATTTGATTGTGAAATGTGCCCTGAGATGTTTGTGAATAGTGACGCTCTGTCAAAGCATTATCGTAATATGCATAATACAGATCCAGAAAGAATGTTTAAGAGACTGAAACAGGAAGAACAAAGAAGAATGCGTGGAAAGATAAGCTTCGTTTGTAAAAATTGTAAAAGACAATTCTGTACAAAAACACTATATTGGAACCATATTGCTACATGTAGAAGAAATACTGCGCGAAAAGAAGTAATATTTTCCTTACATTTTGAATTGTATCATAGTTTGATTTGCTTAAAAAGTTTGATGTGATTTTTATTAATCTATGAGCTTGTTTACGCAGGAAGAACATCTACCTTTGCGAAATGATATATTGGATAATCAAGCAAGCGTACTTGATAATCGGGAAGAAATTTTGAAAAATAATAATCAAATAAAAAAAGAAGAAAGTACATCAAATTTGAATATTCCTGACTTCAATCTTTTCGAAGATATAAATTTTCAATTATCGGGTCAGAGGCCACTTCCAAATCTTATGCCGTTATCTCAGAGGTAAATACTACAGTGATATAGGACATATAATTTTATCTGTATTTTGTTTAATTTGTCAATATATAATTTTAGGGTGAAATCATCAATGAAATGTTCAAGGAAAGATTCTAGGAAAGTGTATGATGAATCAACGAATACGGAATGTGCATGCGAAGTTTGTGGAAAGCAGTGGCCAGCAAAGAAACATTTGTGGCAACATTTAATTCGTTTCCATCGAGCTGAGGCTGCAGTCACCTGTGGAGTGTGCTTGAAACTCTGCAAAGATTATAATGATTTAGCAGAGCATTTGAAAGCCACGCATGCTGCAATCCTTTCTTGCGAAGGGAATAACTTTACATGTAAAACTTGTGGCAGGTATTGACAGAATGAAAAGAATTTGAATTATGTTTGCTTATCAGAGATTTACTATAATTTTATACTGTACTATAAAAAATTATAGTTGATATATTTTTAATAATCGTATTACCCATTTTCTGTGACAGATATCACAATGCACGCAGTAAATTATTATTACACACAAGTATTCACATTGGTCATGCAAATAATGAAACAACATGTCCAAAGTGTTACAAGATTATTACTGACGAACCTGATCATTCTAATACTTGCACTGGAAAGACAGAAGAAGAAGGAGAACATTTGGAAAATGAGAAAAAACCAGAAGTATGTGCTTATAATGTATTTCGCTAATAGGAATATTTTAATTAAAATAAATTGTATATTATTAAAATACATTTTTCATAAAAAGGGAAGCTTGATAGCGGATGATGCAATGATAGAAGAAGTGGAGGAAGGAGACTTTGAATCTGAGGCAGAAGAAGCAGATTCAGCAGAATCAGATAGTGGTAGTAGTACGGAGGCAGAAGAGGAAAATGATTCTGAGGGAGAATCCAGAGCCACAGGAGAAATTACGTACAATTCAGATAGTGATGATTCCGTAGATTTGGTCAATTTAGAAATGCAGAAGAATATGCAACGGTTTGGTTTAGATGGTCTTCAGAAACTTGAAGATACAGGTAATGAAATAGAAAAGTATTTATTTTAATTAAAAAATGATAAATGTATCAACATAGTAGTCCTATGTATAACACGTAAAAGTGAAAGAATATTTAACATTTTTAGAAGCAGAGAAGAATGATGTTGATTTGTCAGATGATGACGATGATGATGATGACGATGACGAGGACGATGATGATGGGCCTCCGGTGCTTAGTCCTATAATGCCTATGCTTCCTGAAAACATATCTCAAGAACAAACGATAGGCCACAAAGTTGATTCAGTGGTGACACTAACAGATAAAGAAATGGAAATTTGTAATTTGGCAGGAATACAAAGTCAGTCCTCTTCTAAATCAGCGAATTTCTATGAAAAGGGCTTGTCTACCAACGAATCGATAGATTTTGAATCTGAAACGTTTACAAATCGAAGTGACGAGGAATATGAAGGCACGAGACATGAATATGATGAAAACTCTATAGAGGAGAATGAGGAAGAAAATGAAGACAATGAGGGCAACGAAGAGCACGAGGAAAACGAAGAAAACAAAGAAATTGAACAAAACGAGGAAAATGAAGAAAACGACATGACGATAAATGAAGACAGCGAAGAAAATGAATCAAACGAGGAAATTGAAGAAAATGAAGACAGTGAAGAGAATGAAGAAAATGAAGAAAATGAAGAAAATGAAGGAAATGAAGAAAATGAAGAAAATGATGAAATTGATGAAATTGATGAAATTGAAGAAAATGAAGAAAATGATGAAATTGAAGAGAACGAAGAAAACGAAGAGAATGAAAAGATCGAAGAGGATGAAGAGGACGAAGAAGACGAAGAGAATGAAGAGAATGAGGAGAATGAGGAGAATGAGGAGAATGAGGAGAATGAGGAGAATGAGGAGAATGAGGAGAATGAGGAGAATGAAGAGAATGAAGAGATTGAAGGGAATGAAGAGAATTATGAGGATGATGAGAATGACGAAAATGAAGAAAAGGTAGAAGGTATGGAGTTGGACGATTTAGAAAATGCTGTGCTAATGGTAACTGAAGGAAATGAAATATTGATACAGCAAAATATATTAGAAGATGGAAACGAAAATGCAAACCAAACTTACGTTTACTCCACGCTTGCATACAGTATGGAAGAAGATAGTGATGGTGCAGGAAAATGAGTGCCAAATTGTGATTAAGTAATTTGAAAAAATGTAAGGTGAGACAATGAAGTTGTTATATTATTTTCAGAAATAAAGAATACGTGGAGATGAATAGATAGTTGGTTAAAAATTAAATATAAAAATATTAAATTTTGGAAAATACCTTCAAAAGCAGTAAAACACACTTATTTAAACATTAATTAACAAAGAATGTAATATCAACTTTTGATTATCTTAATTTTGTATATTTAAATCTTGGTATAATCCCAAGGCTTAAAAATTTATCTATTTCTTCTATTACAAATATGAATTTACAGTTAAAA